AGGGCGCGTGGGTCGACTGAAAGCCTTTGCCCCTGGCTTGCCAACGCGTCAGTCTGAAGCCAGCCCCGTTGCAAGTGCGTGTTTACCAGCAGCTAGGAGTTGGCGCAACTTTTCCTGCAGTTGGTGCAAGCAAGAGGTCGATGCCGCCTGCATCCCTCCTGGGTGCGCGCCGTCAGGCCGCCCCATTGGGAGCACGCTCGTCAGCTGGGTGCCCAACAAAGGGCACATGGGTCGACTGTGTGCCTTTGGCCCTGGCCTGCCAACGCGGCAGTCTGGCACCATTGCAAGTGCGTGGCTACCAGCGATCAGGAGTTGGCGCAACTTTTCCTGCAGCTGGCGCAAGCATGACGTGGCTGCCACCCGCATTCCTCCTGGGCGCGCGCCGTCAGGCCGCCCCATTGAGCGCGTAGTGCCACACCTCCTTTTTGATAGCCGGCCTGGTCCCAAGTCCGGGGTGGGATGCCGACTGACGACTCTACTTATTTTGCTACATTGTCAGGTGTCCCACAGTGTGAGGGTTCCAGCTCTTTCCGTTGGAGCTGGGGAGGGCAACTCCCTTGCCTATCAGCGACGACTTCAGGTGCCGAAGCTACACGGAGTTCAGGTCACAGATGGGAAGCAGGGACCTACTCACAAGTGGAACCGATGTGTCAAGAGATCCTTTATGCCAGCTTGCAATAGAGCTACTCGACATTGCCAAGCGCAGCCCTTGTGCCTGTGTACCTCTAGTTTTATCAAGATACCCGAGGAGTGTGTAGCTGCAGATCATCGCTGCCTTGTCCCGAATGCTGACCGACTGCCGGCGGCGGCAACCTACCCTATCCTCGGATGGGATGGCCCACACTGGGCCCCGGCCCCACGTATGCTTCGAGATGTGGTCTGGGTTTACGTCCGTCCGGGTCACAGTTAGTAAGTGCGAGAAAGCTGTGTTCTGGCGATGCTCTGCGGCCAGACCTTTCTTGGGTACTGAACTACACGGTCCCCAGTGTGCCCTCCAAGGGCCACTTGCAGTTCACAGGACTACAGGGCGCTGAACGTGGTCCCTCTTGGGGCCACTTGCAGTTCATAGGACTACAGGGTGCTGTGCGTGGTCCTCAGTGTGCCTTCCTGGGGCCACTGCAGTTCTCAGGACTGCACTTTGTACAGAGACACACCATGATGAATGCAAGATGCCGTAACAGATGGCTGTAGCGATGTCGATAGCTCTACGACCTGTTTTCATGTTTTACGTTTTCGCTTTCTACTTATCTGATTTTGCACTCTTCTGATCGAGTGAAGGGTGCACTGGTGCACCATTCTCTTGACAAGTTGAGTAGGCCGCAAGTTTGCAGCTAGTCGTAGCGGGAGTTGCCCATGTGGTTCTAGTGCTCTTGAAGCACCGGTGCAATGCGCTGCCACGTACCTGACGCTAAGCTGAGAGACCGGCTGCGATTGGAATGAAATAGTAGTAGTAGTAGTAGTAGTAGTAGTAGTAGTAGTAGTAGTAGTAGTAGTAGTAGTAGTAGTAGTAGTAGTAGTAGTAGTAGTAGTAGTAGTAGTAGTAGTAGTAGTAGTAGTAGTAGTAGTAGTAGTTAGTAGTAGTAGTAGTAGTAGTTAGTAGTAGTAGTAGTAAGTAGTAGTAGTAGTAGTAGTAGTAGTAGTAGTAGTAGTAGTAGTAGTAGTAGTAGTAGTAGTAGTAGTAGTAGTAGTAGTAGGTAGTAGTAGTAGTAGTAGTAGGTAGTAGTAGTAGTAGTAGTAGTAGTAGTAGTAGTAGTAGTAGTAGTAGTAGTAGTAGTAGTAGTAGTAGTAGTAGTAGTAGTAGTAGTAGTAGTAGTAGTAGTAGTAGTAGTAGTAGTAGTAGTAGTAGTAGTAGTAGTAGCAGTAGTAGTAGTAGTAGCAGCAGTAGTAGTAGTTAGTTAGTTAGTTAGTTAGTTAGTTAGTTAGTTAGTTAGTTAGTTAGTTAGTTAGTTAGTTAGTTAGTTAGTTAGTTAGTTAGTTAGTTAGTTAGTTAGTTCGTAGTAGTAGTAGTAGTAGTTGTAGTCGTAGTAGTCGTAGTAGTCGTCGTAGTAGTCGTAGTAGTCGTCGTAGTAGTAGTAGTAGTAGTAGTAGTAGTAGTAGTAGTAGTAGTAGTAGTCGTAGTAGTAGTAGTAGTGTAGTAGGAAAGCATGTACAAGATGCGCAGTCCCAGCCAAAAACCATGGGTGATATCTCAGACGGTTCAGATGCATCGCCGAGGCGTGGCAGCTGTAGCCATTCGCCCACAGGTCCACCATAGCTTTGTACGTCAACGCTCGGGGAAGTTTGATATCCGTTGTATGACCTGTTTCGGGAAGTGGATGCGAGATTGCATTTCGTTGGCTCGCGACCTGTTTTCGCGAAGGTTGGGTTGGCAGTCAAACTCTAGGGTGTGCTTTGCTTAGCGCGGGAGCGGATTTGCGCACCTCCGTGCAACTTGAGTCGACGTGTGACTTGTTATTCATGCGGCATTCTTTATCGCTTCAAATTTTCCCAGGGTAACTTTCCGGTGATTCGACCTATTTTACGCACCGCGGTTGCAATGGGATCGATCACGCTCGATTCGGATTCGGAGGCTGAACACAGACAGGAGCTTCGAGTGAATCCGGTGCATGCCTCCTTCCAATGTTCAACTAAGCGGCGCCTCCTCGAGTGCGTGACGAAGACAATGACCCCGATCTTTATATTAAAGGAACATCGAGCGCTTTCCGAGAAGCATGGCAATCATCTCAAGCATCGTGATTTTTGAATCTGTGATCTGGGATGCTTTGGCCTGGATCTTTGCATTTGCCGTGCGTGCATCTTGATGATGTGTTTTCGCAAGCTGCGCTCCTGTTCAGCCTTCGGATGTTGACCGCATTCGTGTTACTCCACTGACAAGAGTTGGCAAGTGCATCGAGAGCGCTTCGCGAGAAATGAAGAACATTTACGATGATTGTCTAAGCGTTTATTATTGCTGATGAGCGGGCTTCATCCTTCACTTGTTACGATTCGTTATGTGCTCGCGACCTCTTTTGGGGGAGGAGCTGTCGTTCGTCTGCGTTGCGATGTTTACAACTGCTGGAGAAATGTCGAAATCATCGGAGTGTGCTGCGTGCCGCGATGATGTGAAGTTCGACTTGCTGTTTATGTTTTGGAGGACGAGCTGTTCTAATCGCCAAGAATTCTCGCAGAGCTGCATGATCCGTTTCGGTGTACACTGCAACACGCCAACGCACGAAGGCATGTGGCGTGTGATATATAGAGATATTTGTGAGAAGACATCTATGACACCGTTGTTAGCCGACGACCTGTTACGGGAGGTCGATATTTCCAAGCGGTGCACATTCTCGACTATTGAGGCGGGTTTCGACGACTTTATCTGTCGGAATCATTGCCTCGGGTGTAGGATCTTCAAGCCAGAGACGAATTTTCAGTTTCTCCACGGATTGCGCAGGACGGTTATAAAATGCATAAGCATCTTTATTTAGAGACTGTGCCATCTGTGCCATAGGTGTAAGATCGGACCTGCAGTTTTGTACCGATGTAGGGCCGGCTACATGACACAAGCTTATGCGCAGCACCCATGTACGCTTGCAGTTGTGATCACATGCCGTGCTGCCCCTTGCGAAATGAGCAACTTAGATGTTGTGTGGACGTTGCAAGGTTGCGGTGGTTGTCGTGGCAAATCACAAGACTTGGACATTATATTTATATTTCAGACCGCAAATAGAACAACTCAGCTCTTAGGGATTGAGGACAAAACTTAGCATTCAGGTCTGGGAAGCCCCACGTTGTGACCGGTCTATGTATCCATTTGACCGCCATTGGTCTCTTCGAATGGCTGGTTGTTTCTGGTGCGTGTGTCTCGCGCACAGCGAATTGTGTTTCTGCCACATGCATAGAGATGCCTGCCTGGTATGGCGTTTGACAAAGTTTTTCGGAAGTTTTGGCAGTCTTAATTGTAGTAGATGTGAGATGTGGCAGTGGGCATGCAAAAAGTTGTTGCGTGTACCCTTGCGCATGCCTGATCCATCTTGGCTCAATGGAAGTTCGAGGACTGCCACTTGTACGTGCTGCAGGTATGGAGGCAGAGCAGACGTGTTCACTGCTGATGGAGTGATTCTTCTCGTTTGAAGTTTGCAATCATTCAACGTGAGCTAGTACACGTATGTGATGGTATGTGATGAATGGTTTTGGTTCTTTTGTATGTTGGACTGAATTTGGAAATCTGACACGAGAGTGTGATGGCTATGTGCAAAAGCGCAGTGGCCAGCATTGCTCTGATTGCTTGTTGAGCAGGTTGCGTTTATTGCTCCGGTGTCTGGAGCGGCAGTCGGGATCCAACGGCGTGTTTGCAGTGCTTTTCACGTCTGCCCGAGGTATGTAGGGTTTGTAGCCTTTTGCCTTGCAAGGCCCCGCAAGTGGCCCCGAACCATGCATCTTCACCAGGCATGGTTTGTGGTTGTAAAAACTCGAAAGATGGTCCGTCGAGATTGGTCAGGGAAGTTCAGTGTTGGATCAGTCTGTTGCCACTCTTTCAGGCCTTCAGACGTCATCCTGGCCTCTTGCGCCGACAGCTTTGTGCGTCGCCGCTTTTGCCGGCTTGGCGGCAGGCCGCAAGCGCACAGCGCGAAAAGCAGAGCAGGCTGGGTGGGACAGTTTCGTGGTCTAAAACCCGCTGAATGGTGTCGAGTAGGAAACTTAGCGTCAGAAAGTTTGAACAGTCACAAGTTACATTTTACAAGTTAAAAGCGTTGCTCACAGGCAGCAGCTAGAGTTGAAGACCCATCATCATTGTGCGAACACATCTGCACACCCGGGGCCGAGACAGGAACATGAGAGAACATAGCCAGAACCCAACATGAGAGAACATAGCCAGAACCCTGCTGTGTTCTGTTGCCGCATGGCTAGAGTCTAGAGTCTAGAGCAGCCTAGAGGAAATTAGCTGCCATGTGATTCGAAGGAGTTGGCAACATTGCCGAAGCATATGCAACCTGTGGACATGAACAAGCCCCGGCCTTAGCATGCATGACAAAAAGAGCAACTTGAATTTTTCCCTTTGGTCCTGGATGTTGCCAGCAATGCTGAGCGTACCGAGGGAGTACCCGGCGTACGTGAAGGGCAAGAACGAGAACTGCATGATGCCGCAGATGGTGGGCGACTGGGGCACGCCCGTCCCGGGTAGCTACAAGGAGTGCGTGACCATGATTGGCCCGGATGTGGAGGTGGGCCTCTCCACGGGCACGCCTTGGGATCCGCTGGGCTTGGTTAAGCTTTATGACCGGAACTTTGACTTCAACGGTAACATGACCTTCCCACACGCACAGTGGATGCGTGAGGCTGAACTGAAGCATGGCCGATGCGCGATGCTGGCGATTGTCGGCATCTTTGCGCAGGGCTCCTTCCACATTGATGGCTACCCTGAGGCGCCTTGGTACGAGGCCCTGAAGCAGTGCTACGACCACCCGCAGGGCATCGTGGGGCTTGGCATTGCTCAGATCTCTGCTTTCGCCATGATCATCGAGGGCAAGTTCTTCCCCAAGGATGCTTGGATTGGCCAGATGGACAGGGAGCCTGGTGACCTTGGCTTTGACCCTCTCAAGTTTGCCAAGGACGACGCAAGCATGAAGTCCATGCAGCTGAAGGAGCTGAAGAACGGACGCCTGGCCATGATGGCCTTCATGTCCCAGGTGGTCGGCCACTACTTGCCCGGAAGCGTGCCGGGAGTGTCTGCTCTCGCCCGGGAGACGGCGCCTGCACAGGCCCCTGCTTTCTGCGGTGCCACCCCGAGCCAGTCTGAGTCGACTTCCAAGACCGCGGCGCGCTACACCACGCAGACGATCCTGCCCTCCCTGGCCTGGATCAAGACGGGCGTGAAGGCTTCCGAGCTGCAGCCCAAGCAACTGAAGGCACTGACCCTGGCCGGCAACGACGTGCTGATCGGCAAGACGGAGGCTGGTGCGCTGTTTTGCGTGGGCAACTTGTGCCCCCACATCGGCACGCCGATGAGCGAGGGCGCCGATGTGATCGGTGACGTCATCGTCTGCCCGCTGCACGGCTCCTCTTTCAAGGTGACCACGGGCGAGCTCCTTGACTGGTGCGTCTCCCCGCCGGTCATCGGCCCTTTGACCGGGCTGATCGTGGAGAAGAAGAACCTGCTGGTCTTCGAGGTCCGCCAGGGCGGCTTCCTGGGATCTGGCGATGTCGAGGTTCTCGTGGACACCAACGCAAAGAAGGCCTACGAGGCCTGGTACTGGAAGGGCTTGCTGGATGCGCAGGGCAAGGACGACGGCACCTACTACTGAGAACACCTTAAGGCTTATAGTCTTGTCTTCGACGTCGCAGCAACACCCCGGCAGAACTTGCAATGAGCAGAAGCGTCACGACGATGTACAGCCAGAGAGTGTGCCACTTGCTTTTTCATAGCTAGCCTTTATGCGCGAGCTTCGCATGCTCAGCAATGCTGTCCTTCTGCATTCTTCTGCTTTTGCAGAGACTAGGGCGACCTGGATCTGACAAGATGAGAAGGGAGAAAAACATGTGTTGACTTGTTTCCATTGTTTCCATGCCACGCGAAGCTACCGGCTGCTGTGCTTGCAAAGGGCTTGGGAGACTTGACACACACGGATTTTTCAATGGCTTGAATACTGCTTGAATCCTGAAGGCTCAAGGATTGATAGAAGCGTCTGCGTCTAAGCCTCATCACAGACTGCAGAATGGAGGCCACGCATGAGATTGTCGTGCAACAGAGTTCAGTTCTGTCAGTATGGACGCATGTTGCCAGCAGGTGGCCTTCCTTGCACCAACTGGCCACGCTCAAGCCTCAACCAACGTATAGGGAGTATTGTTTCTCCTTTAGGTCGTGTCATGGCAATCGCGCATGAGGTGCAGGCTTGTTAAATATTGAGATTTATTTTTCATCAGCCTTCGGCACACGGCATCATGCGTAGATTGAGGCCGTGCAGGCCGTCTCGGCGCCAGCACAGGCCAACCAGATTCCAGGAGTGTTCAGTGATGTCTGACAAGTGGCAGACCAGTTAATGTTGGAAGCTCGTTAGTATGCCCCCCCCCCCATGTTGTTGTTGCGTCTTGGGGGGGGGGGGGGAGTCTGGCGATACTTTCAAAAGGAATTCAGAAGGAATTCAGAAGGCTTCCTCGTCATTTGTTGGACAATTCCTTCCGTGGGACCAAGTCAAACTCATCCTGCTTCTCTTGATGTTTGAAGAGGAGAACTTTTTTCTTTATTTGTGAGGGGAAAACCTCTATTTCGCAAAAGAAAACCCTGCTTTACAGGGGAAAACCTCTGTCATTTCTGTTGCTTTTACGGAGGAGCTTGGGGCTTGGAAGGGTCGAGGAAGGAGGGGACGGAAAGAAAGAAAGAAAGAAAGAAAGAAACAAAAAAATAGAGAAAGAATAAGAAAGAAAGAAATAGTAAGAAAGAATAAGACATAATAAGAAATAATAGGAAAGAAAGAAAGAAAAACAGCGAAAGAACAATAAAGAAAGAAAGAAAGAAAGTAAAAGAACGAAAGAAGTAAGGAAGCAAAAGAAAGAAAGAAATAAAGACAAAAAGGAATAAAGAAATAAAGACATAAGGAAATAAGGAAATAAGGAAATAAGGAAATAAGGAAATAAGGAAATAAGGAAATAAGGAAATAAGGAAATAAGGAAATAAGGAAATAAGGAAATAAGGAAATAAGGAAATAAGGAAATAAGGAAATAAGGAAATAACGAAATAGAAAAATACAGAAATAAAGAAATCAAAAAATAAAGAAAATAAAGAAGTAAAGAAGTAAAGAAGTAAAGAAGTAAAGAAGTAAAGAAGTAAAGAAGTAAAGAAGTAAAGAAATAAAAAAATAAAAAAACAAAGAAATAAAGAAATAAAGAAATAAAGAAATAAAGAAATGAAGAAATGAAGAAATGAAGAAACAAAGAAATAAAGAAATAAAGAAATACAGAATTAGAGAAATAAAGAAATGAAGAAATAAAGAAATAAAGAAATAAAGAAATAAAGAAATAAAGAAATAAAGAAATAAAGAAAAAAAGAAATAACGAAATAAAGAAATAAAGAAATAAAGAAATAAAGAAATAAAGAAATACTAAAGAAATAAGAAATAAAGAAATAAAGAAATGAAATAAAGAAATAAAGAAATAAAGAAATAAGAAATCAAGAAATAAAGAAATAAAGAAATAAAGAAATAAAGAAATAAAGAAATAAAGAAATAAAGAAATAAAGAAATAAAGAAATAAAGAAATAAAGAAATAAAAGAAAGAAAGAAATACAGAGTTGAAATAAAGAAATAAAGAAATAAAGAAATAAAGAAATAAAGAAATAAAGAAATAAAGAAATAAAGAAATAAAGAAATAAAGAAATAAAGAAGTAAAGAAATAAAGAAATAAAGAAATAAAGAAATAAAGAAATAAAGAAATAAAGAAATAAAGAAATAAAGAAATAAAGAAATAAAGAAATAAAGAAAAAAGAAATAAAGAAATACAGAAATAAAGAAATAAAGAAATAAAGAAATAAAGAAATAAAGAAATAAAGAAATAAAGAAATAAAGAAATAAAGAAATAAAGAAATAAAGAAATAAAGAAATAAAGAAATAAAGAAATAAAGTAATAAAGTAAAAAAGTAATAAAGAAAGAAATAAAGGAAAAAAGAAATAGAATTCCGAAACAGAGAGGAAGGAAATGACGAAATAGAGAAGGAACGAAAGAACGAAACAACTACAAAAACACATGAATCACAACTGGGGGGGCGGGGCCTGCGCCCCTCACCCCCCCCTGGTGTTTTTCAGGCTTCATGGCTAAAAAACTCATTAACACCCAGGGAAGGAAGGTTTCCTAGGGAAAGCCAAGGAAACAGGCCCATAATTAGTATGAAGTTGCAACGAATAGGATTCTCATAAAATTTCTTGCCCCCCCGCCCCCCCCCCTCCCCAACCCAAAAATTTTTAATTCTCCCCAAAAGAACGAAGTCGGAAACAGCTCCACCCGTTTTAAACTCCGGACAAACCGCACTGATCAGGATACAACATTGCAGTGAGAGCACATTCATCGCTGTCTTCAGTCCAAGTCAGGACAGCAGTCGGCCTCCAGCTTCGGAGTGAAAATGGCGGCGGTGGCATCCTGCACCGCAGCGGCTGTCGGCTTGGCCTCCAGCCGCAAGCGCTCCAAGACCGCGGCGCGCTACACCACGCAGACGATCCTGCCCTCCCTGGCCTGGATCAAGACGGGCGTGAAGGCTTCCGAGCTGCAGCCCAAGCAACTGAAGGCACTGACCCTGGCCGGCAACGACGTGCTGATCGGCAAGACGGAGGCTGGTGCGCTGTTTTGCGTGGGCAACTTGTGCCCCCACATCGGCACGCCGATGAGCGAGGGCGCCGATGTGATCGGTGACGTCATCGTCTGCCCGCTGCACGGCTCCTCTTTCAAGGTGACCACGGGCGAGCTCCTTGACTGGTGCGTCTCCCCGCCGGTCATCGGCCCTTTGACCGGGCTGATCGTGGAGAAGAAGAACCTGCTGGTCTTCGAGGTCCGCCAGGGCGGCTTCCTGGGATCTGGCGATGTCGAGGTTCTCGTGGACACCAACGCAAAGAAGGCCTACGAGGCCTGGTACTGGAAGGGCTTGCTGGATGCGCAGGGCAAGGATGACGGCACCTACTACTGAGAACCTGAGCCTGAGAAGATGAACTCGTGTGTTTGGCCTGTCACAGCAGCGCCCTTTTGATTTTCCAGAGTTCTGTTGGCAGGCCCACTTGGCTCGTGCAGACGCAGATATGTCGGGTGAACCACGAAGCTGTTGTCAGGACATTGGTCTGTTGATGCCAGCGGGCATGCAATTTCATGCAATTTCTTTATCCATTGCCACACCCAAAAGCCTTGAGAGTGTTGGCCACACGCTTCAGACTCATGGATGCATTGGATGCAGATTGCAGATACGTGAGATACATAAAAAGGTTTTGCGTCTGGATATTCTTGAATGCTCAGCCTGCAGATGTGACAATCATTTGATGCTAAAGCCTGTCAGTTGCATCTCGGCGCGTGTTGTTGGGTCCGAGGGCCGCAGCCTATAACCTTTGTAAAGTTCTATAGCCGAACTGTGTACCTGATGGAGACGCAAACATGACACGAAAGATAGACATGCAGCTAGAGGGCGGCAGCAGCAGAAGAATATATGAACTCAAAGAAAAGTTTTCGACGACTCAGAACAGAGCGCGAGACCCAGCCAAATCGGGAGGGCAGAGCACTTCAAGCACGCCTCAGATTGTGTGCGCCCGCCATGTGCGTGATCTCTTGTTGAATGCGCCGGATACCTGGACCACACAAGTCATTAACGCAATTGTGTGAAACAGATAGATCTGTTGAGGCTAGTGGGATTTGATGCCGCGCATGCAAAGATTAGATTCCAGGTTTGTTGAGGTTCTTTGGATGGTATCCACCTGTTCTGCCAAGGTTGCTCTAGACTATGTCAACAGATGGCACGAATGTCCCGTGCCTCAAGAGAGTTGTGCATTGCGTTGGTTGCAAGGATGTTCTGTCCATGCTGTGTGAAGGGGAAAAGGAGCCGTGCAGTGTTGAACTAAACCTTGCAGGCAGTCTCACTGCCAACCTTTCCGCCGACGCGACGAGTTCTGTGCACTCGGCACATGTTATCTGTTTTGCGTTTGCCAGAGATATGTTGCTGTCTTGTAAGGTACATGTTTTCACGCATGCTTCATAAGTGGCGGTAAGCGTTCAGCAATGGATAGTTCTCCCTTGAGTTTTCTTTCATTTTTCCCCTCCGAGTTGGGACCGGACTCCGGGCGGCCCGGCGCTGCGCGTGCCCTGTGGCAGCTGGGCCCCGGCCTTGGGCCCCGGCCCCGGCAAAGACATGAAACCACTTCTTCTTCTTCTTCTTCTTCTTCTTCTTTTGCTTTGCATGTTCTTTTCACTCTTTTGTTCTTGGTCGTCTTTGTTTCGCCGGCCGTGCTCGAGTCCGAGGCCTCTCAGCCGAGCTTCGAGTCGAGCTGGCTTCGGTCGCCACGGCGGTGGCACGACGCGGGCACCTAAGACGGGCTGGGCTTCTTAGCTCATACAATACACACATAAACGCAGGAAGGCTTCTGCACATCAAAGACATCCTCACTGGCCGAATTTTGGTGCTTGCTCCGTCAGGTTTACGCTTGTTCGCACGAAAGGTCGCCCAAAGACTCGCCCAATCTCTCACAAGATCCTCTCATGCTCGAGGCCCTTTGGACCCTTGAGTGTTCTGATGACATCCAAAGGCGCTTAACGCTTTCTTTGCCGGGCTTGTCGCTCACATTTTTGGGCACGCGACCGTTTCCCGTCAAAAGCATTTGGCTGTACAATCCTCACTCTTTCGTGCATGGCAGACAGGCTGAAAGCTTCCGCTCAAAGTTAATGCCTCCTCACCTTGCTACATTCACAAACGGCAATTTGACCTAAGCCAAAAAGTGTGCTGAATTGTCTCTTCTTTGGTTGCCGAAACTGCCTCATCCGACTTTCCTTCCTCAATTATGAGATATTATGAGGCTGGCAGTGGGATCGGCTCGTCTTTAAAACAAGGTAGCGAGTCAGCGGCAAATGAACACGACATGACACGACAGAGGAAGGCATGAAACTCGCTTGCTCAGCTTTGCCCCGAAAGCTTCGAGCGAAGTCCTTCCTGGCAGCAAGTGGCAGCTCCGAGCGAGATCAGGATCCGCTCATCCCACGGCTTCCCAGTGCAGCTGGTGCCGGCAAGTGCTGCTCCAGTGCTGATTTAAGTCAAGGCTGTGGGTATCGTTCCAATGCACTTTCATGCACTGACAAGACAAGGGCAGTACCGGGGCTCTAGAAGGCTCTCCTGAGGTATTTGGAAAGGAAGGGTAAAGCCAAGACTCCAAATAGATCCACATGCTTTCGCGATCTTCTTGTGTACAATGCGGTCATGTGCATTCCTTTTCTCCAACTCAAAAGCTTTCGCGTGCGGAGAGCTCTGGTAGATGCCGCGACGTCCACACCTCACCTTGCGGAAGAGGTGCCAGCGAACCTTCGTTAACTTGATAGCCTGTCGACGCCGACATGCTCCAACCTTGCATGGCACGCACAAGCTCGGCGTGCCCCCTTGCCTAAATGTTTGTGACAATGCCCCGTGCTGCTCATGGGCATGCGAGCAGAACATTCCGACTTGCACTTTTATGAAAGTTGGCATGCCAAGACTTCTTGATGTCATGATGCCCACAGACATCCCATGGCCCCAGTCCGACATGCAGAATCATGCACCTCCAGTTGCACTTTGATGTCGGCAGGTCGAAGCCCAGAGGCACCTGCACAGCTTCAGTGTCGCCAGTGTCTCATCTTTCAATACGTTCTTGTTTTTTTTTTTTTTTTTTTTTCTGTCTCCCTCTCTCTCGTTCTCTGTCTCTTCTTCCCACTATCGCCCGAATTGTTGCTCTCAGATGATGCTGAAAAATCGGCTCAAGCTCTGCAGGATCGTGCACGCGATCCTGCGCAACCTGACTTTCAGCTCACAATTCGTTAGCTTGCCAAGCCAAGGACTGTAGAGTGCAGATGACATATGCCTGTGAGTAGCGGCAGAAGTTAACAAGAGCCATCTGGCAGCACCATTTGGCACGGTGCAGAAGCGTTGCCCTTGCGGCCCTTGCCTCGAACCATTTCAGAGGCTTCATCTGGAAGCGACACATAGTGTGCTAAGCATCCATACTGCGGTTTCTACTCCTCGTATTTCAGCAGCTCTCCAGATGTACAAGCTGTGCCGATGTGAAGCACGCAAGCCTAAGGCTGCATGGCGGGGCCTGAAACCTTCTTGGCACCCGGTGTGTCCGCATCTGTGTGGCCTGGAGGAGATGTTGAGGGTGTGATAGGGTGTGCTAGTTCTTTCCACTCCTGGTGGTTTCGATGCTGCTTCTGCTCCTAGGTGGCGTAGCAACATGAGCGGCGCTGATGACTTCAATGCAGCTGGCTTACCATCGACATGTTACGGGTGGCAATCCGGAAGGCTTCTAGGAGGCGCGAAGCTGACTGGGACCGGTCGTCTGGAAGTGGCAACAAGACCCCAAGATGTAGAAGAACACGTCAGGAACACATTTTTTCCATGTGGAGAGGGCAGACGTTTGCTCACGGTTTTGCTCAGGGCTGGAGGGAAAGTCCAAGGCATGGAAATGCACGGAAGACCATTTCCGGCTGTTTCCACCGCCGGATGGCAGAGTCTTGCCTTGCCGGTGATACCTCACAGCCGATATCGATTCGGGCACTCATCCTGGGTCCTTGCCGGTAGTTTTGTGGCTTGGGCCTATAGGGTGCAGGGCGGAATGGAGGATGTGTGGACGCACTACTGGCCCTCGTGCTCGCGGCTGTGCTCTAGGACCCACTGCCGTCTAGCCTGCGCGCTTCGGCGTCTGTGCGGGCATTGGTGAGTCCACGGCTGCTTGCGCGGGGTGGACACTCACAGGCCTTGAACCTATGCCGGAGGGTCGCCAATGACGCTTGCGGAGGCCCCCTGAGATGGCGGAGGGGACGGCACCCTTAGGCAGCAGTGCCCTGCGTGCCGAGTCCATCCATCCATCCATCCACGGAAGACCATTTTTCCTCCCTGGCAATTTGCTCCGGTTGTAGTGAAGAAGTAATGAAGCTGAATATGCCGAGTTCTCTGCGCCGAACTCTTTAATTACTTCAGGCTAAAACTGCCATTTCCTGGGCTGGACTTCAACTTTACGCGCTCGGTCGGGCCGACTTCACATGTCAGGTTCGACTCCACATCTATCGAATTATCTTCATGGGCTTCTGCGTGGTAAGATGACTTAAGATTGGAAGTTGGCGGCCTTGGCCGATGTCAGAACCCTGCTGCAGCTGCTTCTTGAGAAGGGCTTGTAGGTGACGGTTAAGTTTCCTCTTCAGGCGGGCATTCTACATGCACTGTTCCGTGCAGAATTGGTTTCAACCACACTGGTACACTTTCTTGTGGCTTACTTACCCTTGACTTCAGTAGTCGTGCGCAAATTTGTGGCACGACGTGCGAATGCATGGGCACCATCAGAAACGTCACTGGCGTCCACAATGCGCACGACGTCGGCGCAATCAACGGCCTCATTTATATGGTCATTTAGATCTTGTATGCAAGTTGTTTTGAATCTTCATGAAATTGCTTCGATTTTTTAGACTCGCTTAATGTAACGATTATAACTCAACTATACTGCAACATGTTTTGATGAAACGTTACCTAACTATTCAGGATTTTTGCGTTGTTTTTGAGCATGTTCGCATTGTGAAGTTAACCTGCTTTTTGCTTTGCAAGTAAGACGATGAACAGTGAGGTTTGATTTGTTCAACATGAAGGAGCTAGATTTCTTCTCCCCTCTAAAACTTAAGAAAGATAAGAAAGTCTGTTCAGCTTCGGGGGGCTCCGCCATTGGTGTTTTCATGGGTTCATGGCCACCAGAGGGCTTTGACATAGGCACAGATGGGGTCAGCACATGTTGTTTGAGGCCACGGCCGTTACTTTTGGCAGCGGCCCAAGCTGCACACGGAAACATGCAGGCTGTGCTGTGTCCATGCACATGGGGGGTCAGCTCTCACAACGGAGGCTCGCAACTTGACAGTTGAAGTGTTCTTCGAGGGTTGAGCATTCAGGTGGCTCGGACACATTCGGACCCATCAACAGCCACTTCTATCAGGCTTGTGACGAGGGCTGAAGTTGAATCATGTTTAGCAGGCGTCTCGTTTTCTCTCGCAAGACAGCTTTCTTGTGCAGGTGTCATTGGAAGGCGTGGTCTTGGAGGCACTTTTGGAAGTGACCTCAGCAATTGACCGTGCTTTGCAAGGAGCGCGAGCACTGCTGCTGCATAAGAATTCACCAGAACGCTGAGGCGATCACTGTGGTCTCGCTATGCGTGACTGCGGTGTGCGTTCACAGAGGCCCAACTTGTCAGATCTAGCATGGCATCAGAAGGATTAAGCTGATAGAAAAGTTGTTTTCGTGATGTCGGTTGAGGCGAAGCCAAAGCGGAAGCTATGCCAAACCAAACCAGCACTTTTACGTTCTAACCTACACTCTCAGTTTTTTCGGTAGACAGGTCTTTGCTTTCGCTTCCCTGATCTATTTGATGTGAAGTTGCCCCGTGTCTCGCGTCACTCGAAGCGATGCGTGGTGAAACACAAGACGAGCCAACACCGTCATACAATGACAGATGACAAGCATCAGCAACCAATTTCCTTGCGAACCCTGAACCCTTCCAGTCCCTTTTGCAAGGTTGGGTTGGCCCTCTGCGGCTGCAGCCGGGGGATCTGCGAGCGTTGACCACCTTCTCGGATGCTTACCGTCGATCGGCGTAGACTTCGAAGCCCTAATAAGCCCTATGTATATGTTTACATGATGGCTCGCATGATTCTCGAGGCATAGCGGATCTGGAGCTAGAGGCAGACGTGTAGCTTGGATGGCACATCTCCACACACATGCCGACAAGTGACGGCACCTTGAAAGAAGATCAGCTTGGCATGAATGTTTTGAAGGTACCATGAAGGTCCGGCCAAGCAACTTGACAAGGTTGAGCTACGAAGTGGAGAACTGGTGTTGTATCGGCAAGCGCATTTCTGCGACATGCCCCATCCTGGATTGGAGTGAGATGTTCTCGGGTCGCTAGTCTGCACCGAAGCGCATGCCAACGCACCCGACGAACCTCTTGCATTCTTCTGAGAGTAGTGTCCTTCTCCCAGGTGCCCCGAGAGGTTTCCTTGTGGACTTGGCCAAGGTCACTTCTCCTTCCCTATCATCCCACAACTGCAAGCAACATCGGTCGGTACATATCGATCCTGTTCCCTGTGGATGGAGTCGTGGTCGTTTCACACATGTAGTCGTTGTAGTTGCATGTGACATTACAGCCTGGTCAGATTGCTGTTGACACCATGCAGGGGGCCGTGTAGGACTGACGCAGTGGTGTGCTTTGTCTGAAACAATGAAGCAATCTGTTAAACTGCGGAAGGGCATCGACACAGAGCTGCTTGCGTTCCAGCACCGGGTCTGGCCGCTTGCTTCAATTCCCGCCAGCCGATGCAAGAGGGATTTTAAGGACCTGTTGGCAACAGTTCCAGATCGGAGCACCATGCAATTCTACATTTCCAGATGCTGCCACGTCAGGTTGAGCAAAGGCGACTTTGCTGCACATCTGCCCACTGTCTTGGTCGCACAAGAGTGGCGGAGGTGGGCCATGGAGGAGCTCGGAACGTAGTCATTGAGTGACGTATTGAGTGAAGCATTGTCGCTGCTTTGAGTGTGGATCTGGGACAGTTGGATCATTGGCGATGACCCGGGGGGCAGCAAGTGTGTCCCAGCAATTGGCAAGCGCTCCATCGACTGTGAACTTTTGATTGCTACCACTTTTGACATTTGCGGAGCATATTCAGTGCATTGTAAACCAGAAGTGGAGATGCCAGGCTGGCTGTGAGTCTTCGGCTTATATATATATACTTATATATATATATATATATATACATATATATATATATATGTGGTGCAGCGTCGCTCCCCCCCCCCCCCCCCCCCCCCCCCCCCCCCATTGGCCCCCCCCCCCCCAAATTCTTTCCCCGCCCCGCCCCCCTGTGGTTTGGGCCCCCCTGTGGGGTGGTGTGGTTGGGGTTTGGGTTTTGGGTTTAGGGGTTAGGGTTTAGGGTTTAGGGTCCGCGCCCCACCCCCCTGTGGTTTAGGCCCCCGTGTGGGGTGGTGTGGTTGGGGTTTGGGTTGAGGGTTTAGGGTTTAGGGTTGGTTTAGGTTTAGGGTTTAGGGTTTAGAGTCCGCGCCCCGCCCCCCTGTGGTTTGGGCCCCCCTGTGGGGTGGTGTGGTTGGGGTTTGGGTTGAGGGTTTAGGGTTTAGGTTTAGGGGTTTTGGGGTTTAGGGTTCAGGGTTCAGGGTTTAGGGTTTAGGGTTTGGGGTTTAGGGTTTAGGGTTTAGGGGGGGTGGGGGGGGGGGGGGGGGGGGGGGGGGGTGGGGATACCATGGGGGGTGGGGGGGGGGTGTGGGGGGGGGGTACCGACACGGGACACGGAACCATAGACATATATATATATATATATATATATATATACATGTCCGTTGTAGAGCGATGGTGTTTGAGGGCGATGCATTCAATATGACTAGAACCATCCGTAGCTGCTGACGTCAGAGTTGCAGAGAAGTGCGATGCCGTGCATATCTGCAGCGCTGCGCCAGGAACTCCAGCATGCCGTGTCGCCAAAAGAAGAGCACAGAGAAGCTCGAAAAAACATCAGACGGTGTTGGTGTGCATGCAGCTTTGCTAAGCAATCATTCGTTTAACAACTGTCTGAGATCCCAGGAAGCGATCCGCCGTCGCACTTGGCCTGCTTTTGGCCTGACAGCCATCGGTGAGATGTCTACAGATTGCTGGTCTGGGTGTTTCCAGGTCTGATGCGCCGGGGGCAGGGTTTCCTTCAGCGATACCCAGCTTCCAAGGCATCAAATGGATCAACAACATCCGAGATCTTTCTCTGCTGGGAGTGGCCCAGCTACGAGATACCCAGACGCTCGAAATCAATGGGAGACATGGGAGAGAGGAGATTCGAGTTGACATGTGTTACGATGTGTTTTGACACGACAACAGAGTGATGGGCAGCGTTGTGCAGCCGTTCCAGGTGTCATCTTGTCCGTTCCCCAAACCCCGTATTCAAGGGCATGTCCCACGTCTTCTGAGAATGGTTTTGCACAACGCAGTCACAGCGATCAGTCACCCCTGCTCAATCACGAAAGCTAGCTCCTTGCAGCTTGCAGGAGTTCTTGTTTAACACCTTCTTGTTTCGACTTCTTCCCGGTATTGGGGCAATATGTAGCTGGGGTGGTTGAAACCGTGGCTAGACCCCGCCTGGCTTGGCTTTTTGAGGTCTTCAAGGTACCTTGTCCAAAAAGTTGGACCTTCGGGGCGCTTATGCTAAGCGCCCGGAAGGGTCAAGCAGCGTCCAAACCATGCGTGGGCGAGTGAAAGGGTTGACTCACAATACATCTCCAAGAGCAGCGTCCAAACCATGTACGGGTGAGTTAAAGGATTGACTTGTAGTACATCTACAAGCAAGAGAAGACCGATCGCGAAAGCTAGCCCCCGAAAACTAGCGGAGTAGCTTATCAGCCGTTAGGTTGAAACGACAAGGGTGTGGGGAGGGGGTGGTACAAATGGCAGTCAAATGGCGGCTAGACTCCACCTTGCTTGGGTGCTACCTTCCTTGAGGCGTTTACCTTGTTAACCTACCTGCAACCTGGCCTTCGGGCACTTAGGCTAAGCACCCTGACCACAGATGTAAGGGTGAATCAGAGGATCGAGTACTGCTTTTCCTCGCAAGCGAAGACGATATGGTTTCACTTCGCTAATACTATTGCTTCGCTAGTGCCTGTTCTGGGGCATGGCTACCGTAGACCACACCCCCGTTACACTCGAAAGCCTTAAATCCGGCCCCCGCGCCGCCCGTGGTCCAGGGCGGAGCCCGCGTCGCTCTAAAACGCTAACTTTAAGGGGCGAGCACCCGCCACCCCAACTCCTTCAAAATTCGCGCGGGGCCCTTCGGGAGGCCTTCAAAACGGCATCCAAGGGGATGCAACAGGCGGTGTTGCGAAAAGCACGAAAACTTCGCAAAAACCATGGTTTTTTTGCGAAAAACCGAGGCCCCCAAACACCCGCAGCACCCCATTAAACCCTCACGGGCGCGCATCATCAACCCTAGCTTTTCACATCGGGCACGCACCATGGCGAAAACACGTTTTTCAAGGTTTGGGGGGGGGGGGGTACCAAGCCCAAAACCAGGGGAGCATCATGAGCATCAGCAGCCCTGGCCCGCAGCCCCAAGGCAGCAAAAAACGCTGCAAAACGCCGAAATCGCTGTAAACACCGTGTTTTGATGAGGTTTTTCACGCCGGCCTCCGACCCCCACCCTTGTTGCCCTTGACCCGCCCCCAAAGTGCGCATCATCGAAACCCATGTCGGGGGGGGGGGGGGTCTGCTGATGCTGCTGATGCGCGGGGGTCCGGGGCATCATCGAGCCATCGTTTCTCATATGGCTTCGTGGGCCTTCGGGCCCAACCAAAGACCCAGGTGATGCTCATGATGTTTTTCTTGGGCTTGTTCTCAAGAGGAGGAAACCTCGTAAATACCGAATGTTTTTGGGCTCCGCGCAAAAACACCCCCTAAACCCGCTCATTTTACGTGTGGGAACGGCTTCCTGCCCATAACGCACCCGAAAAGCAAGACCCCGAATGCCCTTAAGGGCATTCGGGGTCTTGCTTTTTGGTGTTTCGTGGGCATGCCAGCGTTCAAGCACATATAATGGCGTGTTTAGGGGGGTTCTGGATGGCTTGGGGGAGGCCGCTGATGCTCATGATGCTCCCTTTCCTGGGTCCCAAAAGGCTTTTCCAGGCAAAAAAACACGTGTTTACAGCGTTTTCTAAAGGTTTTTCGAAGGCAAAACGCGTGTTTAGGATGTTTGTAGGGCTCCCAAACCAACCCAGCTGATGCTCCTGATGCGGGTGCGCGTGCGCGCGCGGGGGGGGTGGGGGGGGGAGAGGGAGGTACAGAGAGAGAGGGAAACAGAGAGAGAGAGAGAGACACCGACCTGAGGCCCCCCGAATACCGGGGCGGGCGAGAACGCCCATGCCCCCAAGAAAGAAAGAAAGAGACAGAGACAGAGAGAGAGCGCGAGAGAGAGAAAGAGAGAGAGAGAGAGAGAGAGAGAGAAAGGGAGAGAGGGAGAAAGGGAGAAAGGGAGAAAGAGAGAAAGAGAGAAAGAGAAAGACAGAAAGAAATGGAAACGGAGAGAAGGAGAGAGGGAGAGAGAGCAAGAAAGAAAGCGAGAAAGAGAGAAAGAGAGCAAGAAAGGGAGAGCCGACACACAGGGGGGGCCACAGTGCAGCTGGGAGAGATTGGGGGAATACCTCAACTGGGGGGTATTCGGGGAATCAGGGATTAGGGGGACGAGGAGTAAGAACTGATAGCTGCACCGAGGCACTCCAACCGAACTAACGCACCACCCCAAATACAGGAGCGGGTAAAGATGCCCGGGGCTCCGGCCCCAAGCCCCTAGAAAGAAAGCAAGAAAGAGAAATGGAAAGGGAGAAAAAGAGAAAGAGAAACAGCGAGGAATAGAGAAAGATAGAGGGAAAGTGAAGGGGAGAAAAAGAGAAGAAGAAGAAGAAGAAGAAGAAGAAGAAGAAGAAGAAGAAGAAGAAGAAGAAGAAGAAGAAGAAGAAGAAGAAGAAGAAGAAGAAGAAGAAGAAGAAGAAGAAGAAGAAAGAGAGAGAAAGAGGAAGAGAGAGAGAGAGAGAGAGGAAGATAAAGAGAAAGAGAGAAAGAGAGAAAGAGAGAAAGAGAGAAAGAGAGAAAGAGAGAAAGAGAGAAAGAGAGAAAGAGAGAAAGAGAGAAAGAGAGAAAGAGAGCAAGCGAGCAAGCGAGCAAGAGAGCAAGAGAGCAAGAGAGCAAGAGAGCAAGAGAGCAAGAGAGCAAGAGAGCAAGAGAGCAAGAGAGCAAGAGAGCAAGAGAGCAAGAGAGCAAGAGAGCAAGAGAGCAAGAGAGCAAGAGAGCAAGAGAGCAAGAGAGCAAGAGAGAAGAGAGCAAGAGAGCAAGAGAGCAAGAGAGCAAGAGAGCAAGAGAGCAAGAGAGCAAGAGAGCAAGAGAGCAAGAGAGCAAGAGAGCAAGAGAGCAAGAGAGCAAGAGAGCAAGAGAGCAAGAGAGCAAGAGAGCAAGAGAGCAAGAGAGCAAGAGCAAGAGAGCAAGAGAGCAAGAGAGCAAGAGAGCAAGAGAGCAAGAGAGCAAGAGAGCAAGAGAGCAAGAGAGCAAGAGAGCAAGAGAGCAAGAGAGCAAGAGAGCAAGAGAGCAAGAGAGGAAGAGAGCAAGAGAGCAAGAGAGCAAGAGAGCAAGAGAGCAAGAGAGCAAGAGAGCAAGAGAGCAAGAGAGCAAGAGAGCAAGAGAGCAAGAGAGCAAAAGAGCAAGAGAGCAAGAGAGCAAGAGAGCAAGAGAGCAAGAGAGCAAGAGAGCAAGAGAGCAAGAGAGCAAGAGAGCAAGAGAGCAAGAGAGCAAGAGAGCAAGAGAGCAAGAGAGCAAGAGAGCAAGAGAGCAAGAGAGCAAGAGAGCAAGAGAGCAAGAGAGCAAGAGAGCAAGAGAGCAAGAGAGCAAGAGAGCAAGAGAGCAAGAGAGCAAGAGAGCAAGAGCAAGAGAGCAAGAGAGCAAGAGAGCAAGAGAGCAAGAGAGCAAGAGAGCAAGAGAGCAAGAGAGCAAGAGAGCAAGAGAGCAAGAGAGCAAGAGAGCAAGACAGCAAGAGAGCAAGAGAGCAAGAGAGCAAGAGAGCAAGAGAGCAAGAGAGCAAGAGAGCAAGAGAGCAAGAGAGCAAGAGAGCAAGAGAGCAAGAGAGCAAGAGAGCAAGAGAGCAAGAGAGCAAGAGAGCAAGAGAGCAAGAGAGCAAGAGAGCAAGAGAGCAAGAGAGCAAGAGAGCAAGAGAGCAAGAGAGCAAGAGAGCAAGAGAGCAAGAGAGCAAGAGAGCAAGAGAGCAAGAGAGCAAGAGAGCAAGAGAGCAAGAGAGCAAGAGAGCAAGAGAGCAAGAGAGCAAGAGAGCAAGAGAGCAAGAGAGCAAGAGAGCAAGAGAGCAAGAGAGCAAGAGAGCAAGAGGTTCAAGGTTTCGTGTTTTGGGGGGGGGGACCGGCCCGTGCCGCTAGGCCTGAAATTCAGAGCCTCCGGCACAAGCCGCCCCGCAGGAGAAACGGTGCAGGCGTTTCATCAGTGTTTGTGTTAGTCAACCCTAAGCCCAATGGACCCTAAACCCCAAAGCGTGCACCTCTAACCTGGCCTAAACCCCGAAATCCTTGCTCTCTCCCAGCTGCGGCCACCGCAGCCACTACCAGCTCTCACTTCTCTTTTTCAGGGCTTGGGGCTGAGTGAGTTAGGTGTGTTTTTGCAGTTTGACGGCCGTGCGTGTAGAGCGTCGTTGATGTCTCAGGTGTGACAGTCTTCTCGAAACAGGCTGTCTGCAGTTCGTTCCTGCCGTCCCCCATCATCAGGATTCGGGGGCAGCCCCGTCACCCCATGACACTTCCCGGCCACCTTTGGGATGCAGATTTTGCTTCCGCGAAGGGCTACTGCAACAGAGCCTGCACGAGCTGTAAGAACCCAAACCTACCAGGTCTAAATCCTCCCACAGATTTCGTCAGCAGTTGTCTTGGCGCGTAGCGAACGCTACAAAGCTAAACTTATGGGCATGTTTCCTCAGCTATCCTGAGCTACTGGCTTTCGTCCGCCTTGCGCTCAAGTGATCCGAGGTGTTGGGACGATTCGGATTCTCTGTCACTGCTCATCACGTTGCTTGCCCCGTAAAATTTCTAGATTGTACACAATTGCACGGCAGCCAGCATGGTGAGAATTCGGTGAGAATTCTTGGTAAACTTGCCCGAGCCCCGCCAAGGTTCAGAGAGCATATTTTGCCAGACCTGACGCTGGGAAAAGCAAATGCACATGAAAAGCTATCAGCAGCTATGTTGTGTGTGTTTGGCGTGGTTAGTGCGGCTCGTTTCATAGCATCTTATTTCTTCTCAGGGCTGGGGCCGTTTGGCCTTGAGGGCGGGATGATTGACCAGTTTTCTAACTTGAGACATTGTTCTTGCACTTCCTTGGCCTGGGATTTCGAGAATCCTAGGAATCCAAGAAATGGCCCGATCCTAATGCGTGCCTTCTTGTTCCTGGCCATGTCTCAGGAGAAAGTACCACAATAACTGGTCCGTTTTCGAGATGATGCAGTCATTCTCGGCCGGAGCTGGCGACGTGTTTTGGTGGCAGCAGTGGCGCCACTACCCGTGCTGAAGACCCAACAAGTTGCATGTTTCTCTTTGATATGGAACTGGAGCACCTTTGTCCACGAGCAGAAGCGCTTTCGAGAAGTGAGTGTTTGCGCGGGACTGTGAGGTGGTCGGCTTCTTCACACAAACGCTTCGGAACACAATGCGCTTTCTGGAGAAAGTTTTCTGTACATCCGAGCTGCGAATGAATCCTCTGCAGCTTGCCCTAAGTTCTCGGGCCTGGACCTGCCAGACATTGTCCTCCTTGCATGTGTTTGTGTGTGTGTGTGTGTCTGAATCTTCACGCCGTCAAAGGCAGAAGCAGTGCTCTGGCTGTCGGTACATATGTATACATATGTGCGAGGCCTTCAGGCTTCAGGGTCTATTTGCTGACCTGTTCACAAGCAATCCCCAATGATTAGGGGGATTGGGGATCACGCGTTCACGGATAAGACGGATTACGGATTGACCAGGTTCGCGAATGGGGCCCGTGTTCCCATGATTATTTCCCGCCCCCTCCCCCCCCCAGCCAATAATCTTCAATTTTGGCTGCGCTGGCCAACTCCGAGCTGCTGGTTGCTGGAGCTGCCAAGGACACGGCTTCACCAGGGATAGTGTAGATTTTGGTGGACAATCTCGGGTTCTCTCAAAAATTCACACTGTTTCGGGCCATAGCCTGGTACAGGTAGGCAGCGTATGGTAACTAGTATGGATTTCGGTGGTCGAGGTCGGAGGCCCAAGCAGTTTCCTCACTAATTTTGGCAGTCCCAAACACACTGCCCACCCAACCCATCGTACTTCAGCATAAGGGTTTAGGGTTTAGGGTTTAGGGGTTCGGGTCTAGGGTCACCGAAAAATCCACCCCCATGTTAGTGTGAGAACAGTAGACGAAGGCCACGAAGTCCCAAAAACCCACACGAAGACACCCTTATTTGAGTGCGAGGGTCGATGAGAAGGGCCCAAAAGGCACCCCCCCATGCTAGTGCGAGGAATCTCCAGTCCCTGCCCGCCCAACCCATGGTACTTCAGCTAGGGCTCAGAGTAACCATAAATCCACGCCCAGGATCCCCCCATATGTTAGTGTGAGAACAGTGGACTAAGGCCACGAAGTCCCAGAAATCCACATTAAGACACCCCGCTGTTAGTGCGCGAGTTGATGAGAAGGGCCCGAAAGGCACCCCCCCCACGTTAGTGTGAGGAATCTCCTGTCCCTGCCCGCCCAACCCGTTGTACTTCAGCATTAGGGTTTAGGGTTTAGGGTTTAGGGTGTAGGGTCACCGTAAACCCACGCCCAGGATCCCCCCCATATGTTAGTGTGAGAACAGTGACGAAGGCCACGAAGTCCCAGCAATCCACACTAAGACATCCTGGTGTTAGTGCGAGAGTTGATGAGAAGGGCCCAAAAGGCACCCCCCCCATGTTAGTGTGAGGAATCTCCTGTCCCTGCCCGCCCAACCCATTGTACTTCAGCATAAGGGTTTAGGGTTGAGGTTTAGGGTTTAGGGTTTCGGGTCACCATAAATCCACGCCAGGATCCCCCCATATGTTAGTGTGAGAACTGTGGAGGAAGACCACGAAGTCCCAGAAATCCACACTAAGACACCCCTTGTGCAAGTTGGAGTCCATTTCTAGGCAGCTCAGGCAGTAGAGCTTGCAGCCTCAGTCGTTGAACTTGGGGCCATGGCACAAGCAGGGCCGGAAATGCCGAAGAAGCTGCAGTGGGGAGGCTTAGGCATGTACCTACCTGAGCAGAAAGCTCTCTCGGAAAACTTGAACGTGCCGTGGCGGGAGTTCTTCGCAAAGGGCAAGGCAGAGTATGCAGCAATGAGTGAGACAAACAAAGATCCTTATGTGCGAGCGTACACCAAGGCCATGGCAAAGTACAAGGCGGCGATGCAAGACCTCCTCGAGGCCGGCGGCAGCAAGCCCAGCAAGAGCAAAAAGGCGGTCAAGCCTGCTGCGGAGCCAGTAGACATCGAGGAAGAGGTGTTGACAGGGAGCCACAAGCGTAAACATGCAGAGACGGGGTTCCAGCTTTGGTACCAACATCTGCGTGACTCCGGGGCTACCTCTCAGCAAACCTCAAGCAAAGGCAGGCAACGCGAAGCGTCAGCGATGTGGGCAAAGTTGCCCAGTGAGGAGCAGGCTCACTGGCGCAGCATCTCCAGAAAGCGTCAAGACGCCATCGTCGCTGAGCAGAGCGAGCGAAAAAAGGCGCGAGCCGCGCCACAGTTCCAGTTCGAGTGGGCGTCACGCAGTTTCCAAGTCACTGTGGTCCCTGCTGGTGGCGGCGAGCCGTTTCAGGCCCGTGCGCGCTTGAAGGTGAACGCCGAGCCTGCCGTAGCTTTGCCCAGTGCAGCATTTCTATGTTGTCCTTTGTTGTTGTCGCCCAAAGATCCAGCGGATTAGAGAGCCACCGCCGAAAACCCTCAATCCGAATATTGTACCAGGTAGGGTTTGTCTGCGTGGACTGCAAGATCATCTACCTGCTTCGGCGACCGGACAGACCTCTCAAGGCCTGCCCTGCTGAAGGCAGTGCCTGCAAGGCGGGAAGTCGGGTTTTGGCGGTTTAGGGCCAGGGAAAAGGCCCTAAACCCTAAACCCTAAACCCTAAACCGTAGGCTCGATGAGAATGGTCGACTTTGGCGCATTGAGCCCATGATCGCCGCCCAAGCCGTCGTTGCTTTGGCCCGGAAGTCATTGACAGACTTCAAGAACTGCCACAAGCAGCAGATCACCAAGCTCATGGTCGAGCGCGCCATCGAGATGACAAACAAGTTCAACCCGGACATCAGGTTTGCGAATGATGCCAAGAGCCTGCTAGGTTGCGCCATGGAGTACTTCCTTGAAGACTTGTACTTCCGCGCGCTTGCTGACCGTTCACAGGAAAGCGGTCACAGCGGACCCGAGCGACATGCGCTTGGCTGTTATGCTGCTGGACGAGGGCAAAGTGATGGCAGACATGGACGAGCAGAATATGGCCGACTTGGAGGAGGCAGGCATGGAGATGTTCGAAGCTCGCCGACGGCGCTTGCACAAGTGCATGGGTGTCGGGGACAAGGAGGGGCAGTTTCCGTTTTGTGGCTTTGAGGGCTGAGGCTCTTCGGGGTTAGTTTAGGGCTCCAGACACTGGTCTCTAGACTTATTGTTTAAGGGTTTAAGGTTTAGGCGGCAGCTTGCGTGCAGGATCTCCAGATCGGAGATGCGCGTGCAGAGGCAGGCGACGTGGGCAAGCAGGACTTGGCCGACTTGAAGGAAGCGGCCGTGCAGATGTCCGAAGCTCGCGGACGGCGCTCGCACAGTTTCATCGGAATGGAGCAGGAGACTTCCGTTCTGTGGTTTTGTGGGAAGGGTTTAGGGTTTCGTGTTTAGGGTTTAGGGTTTAGAGCTGAGGATTTAAGGTCTAGGGCCTAGGGTCACCGTAAATCCATGGTGTTAGTGAGGAAACTCCTGTCCCTGCCCACCCAACCCGTTGTACTTCAGAATTAGGGTTTAGGGTTTAGCGTTTAAGGTCACCATAAATCCACACCCAGGATCCCCCCATATGTTAGTGTGAGAACAGTGGACGAAGGCCACGAAGTCCCAGAAGTCCACACTAAGACACCCTTACTTTAGTGCGAGAGTTGATGAGAAGGTTAGGGTTTAGGCGGCAGTTTGCGTGCAGGATCTCCAGGCAGAGCCAGGCGACATGGACTTGGCCGACTTGAAGGAGGTGGGCTGCTCCGAAGCTCACGATGCCGATGTCGGGGAGGAGGAGGGGCAGCCCAATTGGGGTGTTTAGGGCTTAGAGTTGAGGGTTTAAGGTTTAAACCCTAATGTTTTAGTGCGACAGTTGCGAAAGGAAGGCTACAGCGTCCCAGAATCCACACCGTCACACCCTTGTTAGTGTGAGAATTGTGGACGAAGGCAGCAAATTTCAGAAATCCACGCTATCACCTAAACTCCAAAATTTATTGCGACAGTTGCGAAAAGAAGGCTACAGAGTCCCAGAATCCACCCCGTCGCACCCCCCATGTTAGTGTGAGAGCTGTGGACGAGGGCCAGCAAATCCCAGAAATCACATTAAGGCCTGAACCCTAAACCCTAAACCCTAAACCCTCACGTTTTAGTGCGACAGTTGCGAAAAGAAGGCCACAGAGTCCCAGAATCCACACCGTCACACCCTTGTTAGTGTGAGAATTGTGGACGAAGGCCGGCAAATCACAGAAATCCACACTCACACCTAAACCCCCAACCCTAGTGCCGCAATTGCGAAAGCAATCCATCACACCCCCCATGTTAGTGTGAGAAGTGTGGACGAAGGCCAGCAACTCCCAGAAATCCACACTAAGACCCGCCCTCAAAGATTCCCGTGTCAGTGAGAGAACTGTGGAAAACATCCACCAAGTCCCAGAGAAAACCAAGACTGAGACCCGCCCTGACAGGTGGCGCAGCAAGATGTCGAGGACAGATTTAGCGCTGTGGGCATAGCTCGGTACTTTCACATCTTCTCTGCCCTGTACCGGGAGGTCTTGCCCGGACATAAGGGCATGGGCCGATCACATGGCCGCGGGTTACAGCCAGCTCCTGGGCGACTTCCGAAGCCTCCTCGTCAAGAAGACTGAGCACCTGAAACAGCGACCCGAATGCTTCACGAAGCAGGCTCACCAAATTTGGCCTGGCATCCTGCAGCGACACGGGCATGAGGCACCGCTCGGTGCACGAATGGTTTCGACAGCCATCTTGTATTTTCATAACTGTGGCATCGAGCGTGACTTCGCAGCCCTGCGATCCATCAGGGAGGCAGCCAAGGGGCAATTGTCCGATGAACTCCAAGACCACCGTTTGCACATCCACCTGGTTACTCGGAATCCTTCGGTAGTTGCCATATATGTTGTGCCTGCTCAGCAATTGTTTGTGCCTGATCATGTGAACAACCAAGGCACCCACCGTGGAGAAGAAGAGAATTGGTGTAGGGCAAAGCAAAGGCGGTCATCAGACATGCAACGCCAACCAAGAGGATCGCAAGGAAGTATGCCGCAAAGAGCCGCCAAAAGATTTGTCGGGGCAAGCCGTAGAGATTCAGCCTGCTCAAATTGGGCAGGAGTGTGAGCCAGCAGAAGACGAGGTCAGCCTGAACCTGGCAGACCTTTGTCCGTTTCTGACAAACTGACCAAGACGTAGCTTGGGGTTTCTCTGGGGAAAGAGGGGGGCTGCGAACTGAGAAGAAAAATTGGATGCTGTCAAGCTCCATGATTCACGTCCTATCAGTGCTTCAGTCCACACCTGCCTCCCTGCACGCAATCAAAAGGCCGGGCGTAGCTCTGAATGTCGATGCTTGAGTTCCCCAACACTTGATGTTTCCGAACTGCAAGAACTCTTCCAGCTTTGTGCATGCTACATCACCGCGGCTGATTGCTGAGTGATCTCTTTGAGCGTTCTTTAGCTTGACGCTTCCATAACTTGAGTCTTCCTTTACTTGAGATATGTCGTTTTCGACTTCAGTACTGCTGTTGCAAAGAAGCGCTCATGGGCCTGTGGCAGCTTGGGGCCCGTCGTGTGCAGCTGGGTTTGCCCTGGTGTTGCGTGCAGGGGGCTGCGGCTTTGACCTGCGAACCCTGCCGCAACCCGACGAACGCTCTACGGGGAGGTGCTCAGGGGGCTGCGGCTTTGACTTGCGAACCCTGGCGCGACCCCAGCCTTGAAAATTCATTGAGTCGCCTACACCCGCTTATACATTCGCTTTCAAGCGACTGCAGGTGGGCCGTTCGAGAGTTTGCCACAAGGATTGATCACATTTTTGTGTGGTGTGCGAGCGAAGTTCAGCAAACTACCCTCGCGCAGAGCAGATGCCCATGATTGCTAATGTCTTCCAGCAACGAAGTCAGCTTGACGATCAAGCTTGGGGAGCATGGCGATAAACTCCAATCTGTTCTCACCCGAATTTAGTTCCGATCATCCCCAGTGAGGCAAAACAGCTCAGCTACCTCAATGAGGGAGCTCTGTGTGTGCATTCCTGTGTTCCAAGGAGTCCTTTTTGTGCAGTCACAAAGCAGGGGCCAGCGCTGTACCTGAGGGTCGCTGGCCAACGAAGACGCCTTCAGGGAGGGGTGAGAACGTACCAGCAGTGAGTGTGACTTTCTCGCAAACTCCTTCAAGGGGTGTCCAAAAAAGTGTGTGTGTGTGTGTGTGCGCACGCGCGTGTGTGTGTTCGCTTGTTTCTTTTCTCATTGGTAATGCAATCAGAAGCTTTGGAAAAAAGACGCCTTGGTTTCACCTTGGTTGCGATTTGAGGCAAGGAAAGGCCAAAGACATGAACAACTTGCAGCTTGGCTGCATTTGAAACTGCAGGCATGAGGCTCCTGGATGTGTCAATTCATTGGACGGTTTTCGAACTTGCACTTGGGGTAGCTGAGGGTCGACCGCAATGTGATGGAGTTCATTGAATACTCTGGCCTTTTCCACAGCAGTTTTCCGGAGAACTTTCGGAGCAAGTTCTTCGATCCGGAGCGACCGCAGTACCCAGCTGGGATCGGAGTCTGCAGTTCTGATGCCTGTTGCAAAGCTGCTTTGTTGAGAGATCACCAGGAGCAGCTCAAACGTTTGGAGGAGGAGGTTCAGCATTCTTGCTGTCGCTGTCTTCAAATGTTGTCCAAGTTGTCCTATGTGTCATCTTGCAGAACAAGCGCTGATTATATGAATGCGGCTCGGTGCCCGCGTCGCGTGAATGTTCCTCTCAAAGGTGGTGAACTCAGCGTCTTCGCCGCCTTCGACCTTCCGCACAGTGCCTCGACTTTCGGTCTCGGCATGGTAGTGAAGGTCCTGGGGTAGGGCTTTGAGACGGACAGGTTTCTGAAAGACGGCTTTTTCGGAACGAGGGCTTCAGACTTACGTCAGCCGATCCCAGGTCAGAAAGCATCCAGAGGCCAGGGCCCACGAATCCCGGTCTTTGTTTCGAAGTTTCGCACTCTTGTAAACAAGCGGCTTTTCCGTGTGAGAGCCTTTGGCATTGGCTTGTCGCGGAATGTGAAGAGGACATGGCCGACGTTGAGAAGGAGCATGTCAGAGCGATGCAAAAGGAGTACTCATCCTCGCAGCAGTTTGGCCGAAGCGATAGTCATGCGACGGATGACAAATGTCTTGCATGGAGATGTGCATGCTAACCTGGCTCCAGGTTTGGCTTGCAAGCAAACGAGGGCGAGTTTATCGAGATGCTAAGGCATTGTAACCTGGCACCCAGGAGCTTGGTGTTTTGAAATGATGCGGATTGGACTTTCAAAGGAACTGCGAAGCTTCCTGTGTGTGTGTGGTCAGCAGTCGAACACTTATCCTTTCATGGTTTTGGGCTCAGAGGCACTTTTCGTTCATTGGGTCATACATGCCTTTTCAATCCTAGCAGCAACTTTTCCCAACCAGCCCTCAAACATCGGTGCTCACGTAGCATTGCCAAACCACGTGGTTCGTGAGGGATGGGACAGGGTGGGGCCGAGAGTGGGGCACCGGGTAAGGACAGATGAACGCAGAGCGATAGGACGAGTGCAAGGGGCGGCGGATGGGACGTTTTGTATTTTGAGGTTTCCTTTGTTCACGAGACGCAGCGGGCCAGCGTGAGAAAGCTGAGAAAAATGGTTGTCACGATGGGTCTTTGGGTCCCCGAGTTGACCTTGATTGACCCTTGCTCTAAGCTGTGAGCCCCCGATGCAACTCAGATGTCGTTCTTTTGCGACACTGCTACGTGCTGCTGGATGTGGTTCTGCTTCTGACCAGTATACAGAGCTTTGCAAGTTTCTTGGCCATGTCAAAGTTTTCGGGTCTCGGTCTACACATGTCTTTTGCTTGGGCTGTTGCAGAGCCCTAAAGGTGTTTACATGTTTCTGGTCATGCAGCACGATTTTGCAAAGCATCTCAGGGCTTGGTGGCACCAGCCTGATGGCGGATCTCGCGTGGAGCTCGTATGAAGCGGAAAGGTTATGAAAGGCTGGTGGTGGCACCAGTGCTACATGCCCTGAATGCTGAGGTGAGCAAACCTCATGGTCAAAGTGTCATGTCCTTTGCGAAAACCGAAGCGGGGAGCTCAGCCATGCTCAGCCACTTCTCAGCCACTTCATTGCTTGTAGATGCTCTCTGCCCTGACATCGCCAAGGTGTCAGAAGTCAAGCAAAACCTCGTCCAGATTGCCGACATCGCTCAAGGCCAACAGATAAGCGCCTAATTTCAATGATCCTAACTTAATGCATGAGGAAAAGATCCTGCATATCCCGCAGATACTCCTTTCTGTGCGAAAGTGGTTTTCTGAAGGCGGCTGGTCGAACTTCCGAAGGCCGACTTCCACGCCTCAGAAGCGGAGAGAAGACACCTGAGACATCTTGACTCATCCGGCATATGAGTGTTTACCTGTAGAAGCGGTCCTCGAAAGCTGGTTTGTTCCGGAGGCAGTCCTGGCAGTGGAGGCACAGTCCGTGGTCAAACCTGAGCCACCCTGACGGCATGAAGGTATGTACTGTGCTGGAAGGATCAGGAAGGACAAGGGTAGATGTGGGGTGGTCGAACTGTTCAGGTCCCCTTGACAACGTGCGAATGTCCATCAACCTCATGGAGCGGGCGGATCTTGAGCATAGGGTGCTAGACGGCGCATGGCTCATCATGTCCAGCCAGCCTGGAGCAGGACACCGTCGAGAGGACATATGAGAATGCCATCCACAAGATTGGAGTTCTGAAGCTCGGCTTAAACTTCACACAGTGGCCCAAGTGCCGATGCCTTGGCCCTGTCACGCTGTCATCTGTTGAGGCCCCTATGTGGTCAGTTTCATTTTTCTGCATGGCAGCACGAGCAGTACAACGCTGGCATATATTGGATCAGGAAAGCGCAAATAGCTAAAGCTCGTGGCGGTGGCGACTCATCGACGCTCAGAGACGTCAGTGCGATACTGACCACAAGTCACACGGGTTTTCGTGGCTGGCTGCTCAAGGTTGCATATCGTAATGCCGCGGTTCTTTGATGGGTATGTTCACGTTAACCAGCAATTCGCCCAACTTTGTCTTTCAATGCATGCTGTCAAGGAGGGAGCTGTCGGCTGAAGTGCAGACGCTTGGCTATTTCTCGCTTCCTCGCGCCGTCTTTTCTTTGAAGCAAGGATGCTGCAGTACTGCAGTAGACGACAATGATGCGTCATGCGCCCTGAATGTAGCGCAATGCCAAGGTTTTATCACAAGCCACCCGGTCGCAACACGTGCTGGACAGCTGGCCCATGTTGACCCATTGTCACCTTTGCACTCTAGATGGGCGCACGTGATTACTGCAGTAACGGCTACGGTTCATCCACGAGTTGATCCAAAAGGTTCTGGGATCTGCTGGTGAAGAAGCACAGCGTGCCCCCAGATGATGTCGTGTACATTTGAAGCAAAGCAACTCGGCGTGACGGTTTTCTGGCTCAAGATAGGTGGTGAATACAAACAAAGTTTAGTTGGATTGCAGCATGTCGCAATGAATTCCCGGTTCATAACTGTAGCTGCTGCAAGATCCGCTTCCAGCATAAACCAGTCCAAGACATGTGCGTTCGTATCATCAAACCAAGCCAAGACCAAGACATCCGCTCTGAAAGGCATACATGATTCTGAACGCCCTTGGTGAGCGTGTTGTACGTGAGTGCATGCGAGTGCACCTGCAAATCTAATCTGTTAGGCCACCATACGACAAAGCACAACACATGCAATTGTGGGTGTGTGGCTCTCGTCTAAGCATCTTTTCAATGTTTGCGCAAGGTCTTCACGCGTAGTTCGGCTTCAGTGAACTGGAGCCTGTGAAATCCTGTGAAGGCCCGATTCGGGGACCGTTGTGCCGTGTGGGGGCATGAAGCTGTGCCCTACACAGAACACGGCGAAATGCTGAGCCATCTCTTGGTCTCACATGTGCTTGAGGATGCCCATGTTTGGGGGCACATCCCATCGCCTCAAAGAAAGGCTATGTGACTCTATGTGACTCTGCTGAAGAGCGGCGGAGAGCGTTAGCTTGATTTTCCAGGTCAAGATTTGAATACACGCATGATAGCATAAATTCGAAAACACAGTCCAGAGGAACAACTTCAAATGTGTGACACGTCTCTTAAAACACGTCTCTTAGACACGCTCAAAGACTGGAGCCGGGCAGGACCTTCACCTGCTCCTGCGTTGCTGCCTTAGAAGCTATTGGAAGCAATAAGAACAGGTCTTGGCTCATGGCCGTGCAACGTTCTGATCGTGGCATGCGGGCTTGCCACAAAAGCCCTCACCCTCAACGGGGCCTTGCTGTGATGTGCTGCACAAGGCGGAGCCAAAGCATCGGAGAAGGCCATCAACAGGCAGTCCTCCGAAGAACCGAACATCGCATCCCAAGTTCAGGTTTAACTGGCATTGGCATAGCTGGATATGCGAGCAGCTGCTAACATGATGTTCTGCCGTCTTAATGAAAGTCAAGCACTTGCGAGTTCGCTACTCCTGGTTGCTGATTGCAGCAGTGGTCGCGGTGAGGCGCGTGCATCGCAGAACATCGCAGAAAAACACATGCCCAGGGCCGTTATGGGGCTTTTTGACCTCATACATTAGTTGCAAAGAATGGGCTGCAGGTCTCCGTTCCGATTACAGCGATACCTGAAACGAGGCCGCGAGACAGTCTTCCCTGGTGCTGACCATTTGTTTCATTTGTTCCCGGTGCAGCACACCTTGCAGCATGAACAATCAGAAAGCGTGTCGAATCTGATGGGAGCTGTTCAAGCACTCTCCGCCTTCACCATCGACACCCATAGCTCTCATAGCAGAAAGTTTCAAGCTCGGACGTTAATCATGAAGGTTGAGGATGATGCCCGATGTTAGCATGGTGATGTTTTTTGCTGCTGCTGCTGCTGCTGCTGCTGCTGCTGCTGCTGCTGCTGCTGCTGCTGCTGCTGCTGCTGCTGCTGCTGCTGCTGCTGCTGCTGCTGCTGCTGCTGTCGGTGTCGGTGTCGGTGTCGGTGTCGGTGTCGATGTCGGTGTCGGTGTCGGTGTCGGTGTCGTTGTCGTTGTCGGCCCCCAGCGGAACCGACCCATAGATAGAGTATTGGGTTTGGGGATGCGCTCACAGCACCAACCCACGAAACGGAATCGACCCCATAGATAGAGTATTGCATTGCGGACGCCCACGGCCACCACTAATGGTCATTGCCCCACTTGCCCCACTTGCCCCACTTGCCCCACCTGCCCCACTTGCCCCACTTGCTTTTCCGGAAGAGCTTATCGACGTTGCCCCACTTGCCCCGCTTGCCCCACTTGCCCAACTTGCCCCACTTGCCCCCACTTGCCCCACTTGCAGCAGGGGGCTAGGGCTGGAGCTGGAGTTGGAGCTGGGCTGGAGGCTGCGGGAGCTAAGCGGACGAGCAAGCGGGGCAAGTGGGGCAAGTGGGGCAAGTGGGGCAATTGAGGCTGTCTTTGAGGCAGACTTGTGGCTGCAACCAGAGCATTGGGTCCCTGCCGAGCCCCGTGCTCCCCAGCCACATGTCTGAACTTTGTCTTTGTGCCTACAGTACCCCCCCCCCTCCCCCAATCCTTTCCCTAGTCCTCTTGCCCCGTGCTCGCCCCAGCCACAAGTCTGCCTCACTCCTTTGAGGCAGACCTGTGGCCAACTTTTCTCTTGCAACCCCCCCCTCCCTCATCTCTTCCCAGCCCTCCCCCCCCCTCCCCTCTTTCTTTCCCCCCTTAGCACACCGTAAACAAGTCGCTGCGGCTATGATACTGTTATGTGGTTATGGGGTTAAGGGTTGAGGGTTAGAGGAATTCAAGGGGCGCAGGCTTCATGTTTCTCCCAAAGGTTCCCTTGGTTTACATTTTTGCGTTGCCCTGCAAGTCTGCCTCAAATACAGCCCGATTTCAGGCAGACTTGTGGTTGGCCTCAGTGAAGGGCTTGATAACCTGCCCCGCTATCCAAAGGGCAAAGGGGTCGCTTAGCCAACTTTTTTTTCAGTCGCTTAGCACGCTCAAAAACATGATCGCTTAGCACGCTGATTTTTGGACTAAAGCCTAAACCCTAAAGCCTAAACCCCTAAAGGGAAACCCTAAACCCTAAAATGTAAGAGAAGCCCTAAACCCTAAACACTAAACCCTAAACCCTAAACCCTAAACCCTAAACCCTAAACCCTAAACCCTAAACCCTAAACCCTAAACCCTAAACCCTAAACCCTAAACCCCAAGCCCTGAGCCCTAAGCCCGAAACCCTAGAAGGTAAGAGAAGCCCTAAACCCCAAACCCGAAACCCGAAAAACCCTAAACCCCAAACCCCAAGTGTCTCGCTTCGTGACAGTCCGCGTGACCGATTGCATAAACCCCAAACCCCAAACCCCAAACCCCAAGCCCCAAACCCAAACCCTAACCCTAAACCCTAAACCCTAAACCCTAAACCCTAAACCCTAAACCCTAAACCCTAAACCCTAAACCCTAAACCCTAAACGGTAAGAGAAGCCCTAAACCCTAAACCCTCAATCCCAAATCCAAAGCCTAAACCCCAAAAGGAAACCCTAAACCCTAAACCCCAAACCCTAAACCCGAAACCCCAAACCCTAAAGCCGAAACCCCCCAAAAGGAAACCCTAAACCTTAAAAGGTAAGAGAAGCCCTAAACCCTAAACCCTAAGACCCTAAACCCTAAACCCCAAACCCTGAACCCTAAACCCTAAACCCTAAAAGGTAAGAGAAGCCCTAAGCCCTAAGCCCTAAACCCTAAACCCTAAACCCTAAACCCTAAACCCAAAGCCTAAACCCCAAAAGGAAACCCTAAACCCTAAAAAGTAAGAGAAACCCTAAACCCTAAACCCTAAACCCTAAACCCTAAACCCAAAGCCTAAACCCCAAAAGGAAACCGTAAACCCTAAAAGGTAAGAGAGGCCCTAAATCCTGAAGCCTAAACCCTAAACCCCAAACCCCAAACCCTAAACCTTAAACCCTAAAGCCTAAACCCCCAAAAGGAAACCCTAAACCCTAAAAGGTAAGAGAAGCCCTAAACCCTAAACCCTAAACCCTAAACCTTAAACCCTAAACCCCAAACCCTAAACCCTAAACCCTAAACCCCAAACCCTAAACCCTAAACCCTAAAAAGTAAGAGAAGCCCTAAACCCTAAACCCTAAACCCTAAACCCTAAACCCTAAACCCTAAACCCTTAACCCTTAACCCTTAACCCTTAACCCTTAACCCTTAACCCCAAACCCCAAACCCTAAACCCTTGACCCTTGACCCTTAAACCCTAAACCGTAAAGCCAAAACCTAGCCTGAAAGCTAGAGTTGGCTAAGTGATCGTAAAAATGTTTGCTAAGTGATCGCAAACCATTTGGTTTCCCGATTGGCCAAGTGATCGCGTTCTGGGTTTGCTAAGTGACGCGGGTTCCTTCCAAATCCAACTTGCCCCACTTGCCCCACTTGCCCCACTTGCCCCACTTGCCCCACCTGCCCCACTTGCCCCCCTTACCCCAGTCGACCCGCATGACCCGCTTCCCCACCTGCCCCCAAGCCTCAGGGCGTGCGGGAAACGGGGGCGGGCAAATCTGCAAGGGCAAGCGGGTCAAGTGGGGCAAGTGGGGCAAGTGGCAGAAAACACTTAGCGGCCCGCTTTTGCGCGCCCACTGGAGTATTGGGTTTAGGCCGCGGGCATTGAAGCTACGTGCCTTCCGTATATACGGACATAGGTTGATCGTTAAACCCGGCATGTACACCCCCTCTACCCTCCATGGGGTCAGGAAGAAGCCATACAGGTTTCGAAAAGTGATCCCCAGTCATAGTAGTCTATCTATGGGATCGGAAAACAGCCCAGATTTCGAAAACAGAACCCGAAAACACACATTCCATTTAGTTAAGGGTGTGTACTAAGTACGACACTAAGCACTCAGCACGAAGCGCACTAAGCGCACTAAGCGCACTAAGCGCACTAAGCGCACTAAGCACGCTGAGCACACTAAGCACGCTGAGCACACTAAGCACTAAGCACTAAGCACTAGGCACTAGGCACTAAGCACTAAACACGAAGCACTAAGTACTAAGTACTCAGTACGAAGTCTTATCACCACCCCCACTATGTACTAGGTACTAGGTACTAAGTTCTAAGAACTAAGCACGAAGTACCAAGTACGAAGTACTGAGTATTAGGTACTGAGTACGAAGTACTAAGCACTAAGTACTAAGCACCAAGTACCAAGTATCAAGTATCAAGTACGAAGTACTAAGTACCAAGCACTCAGTACTCAGTACTCGGTACTCGGTACTCGGTACTCGGTACTCAGTACTCCGTACTCGGTACTCAGTACGGAGTACTGAGTACCTCAGTACTGAGCACTACGTACGGAAGTAGCAAGTAGCAAGTAGCAAGTAGCAAGTAGCAAGTAGCAAGTAGCAAGTAGCAAGTAGCAAGTAGCAAGTAGCAAGTAGCAAGTAGCAAGTAGCAAGTAGCAAGTAGCAAGTAGCAAGTACCAAGTACCAAGTACCAAGTACCAAGTACCAAGTACCAAGTACCCGCCCTGCAGCCCTCCTCGCCAGCTCGGTTTCATCTCCCTTGCTGGTGCGGGTGGTGATGCCTCTCCGTTGCTGGTGCAGCTGCGTGTGCTGATAACGGAGAGGTAACCGAGCTGGCGAGGCGGGCTCCAGGGATCCTGGCCCCGCCCCTCAAGTACCAAGTACCAAGTGCTAAGCACTAAGTACTGTGCTCGCATAGCGAAGCACTAAGCCCTAAGTACCAAGTGCTACTCAGTTCTCAGTACTCAGTACTCAGTACTCAGTACAAAGTACAAAGTGCTAAATAGTATGTAGTATATAGAAAGTATTTAGTAGTAAGTAGTAAGTAGTAAGTAGTAAGCAGTAAGCAGTAAGCAGTAAGTATTAAGTAGTAAGTAGCAAGCAGTAAGGAGTAAGTAGTAAGTAGTAAGTAGTAAGCAGTAAGTAGTAAGTAGTAAGTAGTAAGTAGTAAGTAGTAAGTAGTAAGTAGTAAGTAGTAAGTAGTAAGTAGGAAGTAGGAAGTAGGAAGTAGGAAGTAGGAAGTAGGAAGTAGTAAGTAGTAAGTAGGAAGTAGTAAGTAGCAAGTAGCAAGTAGCCAGTAGCAAGTAGCAAGTAGCAAGCATCAAGTATCAAGTAGTAAGTAGTAGCAAGTAGCAAGTAGCAAGTAGCAAGTAGCAAGTAGCAAGTAGCCAGTAGCCAGTAGCCAGTAGCCAGTAGCCAGTAGCCAGTAGTGAGTAGGGAGTAGTAAGTAGTAAGTAGTAAGTAGTAAGTAGCAAGTAGCAAGTAGTAAGTAGTAAGTAGTAAGTAGTAAGTAGTAAGTAGTAAGTAGTAAGTAGCAAGTAGTAAGTAGTAAGTAGTAAGTAGTAAGTAGTAAGTAGTAAGTAGCAAGTAGCAAGTAGTAAGTAGTAAGTAGTAAGTAGTGACTGAATGACAGAATGGTTGCATGATTGAAGAACTGAGTGATTGACTGGTTGAACGGTTGAATTGTTGAGTGGTTGAGTGGTTGGATGGATTGACGGTTGCATGGTTGGAGGATTGAGTGAGTGTTGTTGATGATGAAAATTGTGATGCTTGCCAACCTGCCCATCCGTCCGGGAAGATTGCCTAGCGGATATTGTAATGTTGTATTGCATCCTGGTGAAAGGGGGGGCGCACTGGTAAGGGGTTGCAAATTTCCGCCTGCGCTCAGTCTTGCTTTCGTTTTGTGTAAACCTGCGTCAGCTGTTGTGTGACACAGGCCTATTGAGGCATGCCTGGGGGACTCAACAGGAGGCCCGGGTTTTGGTTGAATACTCAAGTCGCTTGTGCCATTCTATGTCTCACCGGACATGCTCCTAGTTGCAGGTGGCCCCCATGATATGCAGCTTGGTTCTTGGCTTTGGATCTGCTTGTGTGAGTTCTTTCTAGATGAAATATGTGTGTGAGGTTTTGGCAGGTGAGGCACTTGTGTTGCACAGTTCTCAGGGGTTCGAAGCCAGGTATTGACCGAAATGACGTTTTTCGAAGCTTAGAAGAACGACATTTCAATCCCAGAGCATCCCAAGCTTTCGAAGCATTCAGGGATCCCACGTCCTTCCTTTTCCAACCCAAGCTTTGACAAACCCTGTCATCCTACCATCGAACACCTGTCAACTTCAACGGCCTTTCAGGGGCTTCAAGTGACGTTGCATTCTTTGTCTTGTCGAGACATACTCAGGAATGCGCAGTTTCATGTGTCTCCCACCGCGGCACAGAAGCTCTTGGCACAGCTTCAACAGAGCCAAGGCTACTGATATGTTGCATCGGGTGTGGTATCAGCGAATGCCCTGTGCTCACCTGAGCCGGCAAAAATCTCCGAAGGCGCCATAGAGCGCGGGGCGGAGCCATTGTCAGCACCCTGGCCGCTCTTCCGCTGGGCGAGGGGCTCGGTGCAGAGGTGCTCGAAGGTGCTCCAGGTTCGTGCACTTGCTACTTGTTTCGCAGCTGCGAAGTTCAAAGCGACTTCAACACGAACTGTTATGGGGGCTGTTATGAGCCCCAAGAGCGGCAAACGATTTGAGGCGAGACTGGTGCAGAAAGCTTGGGCAAAATCAAGAGTCATCCAAGTCAGCAGGTTAGGGACATTGAGCCTCAGCCAAGTGAGCCATGCTTCCCGATGTGGGGGCCGCATGTGATCAAGGCGCTGGTGGTGCGATCCTGTCCATCAGGGCTTGGCAGTCGGTGGGTATACAAGGTATACATATTCTGAATGCACAAGACAAACAGGCACATTGCCAAACTGATGCATGAGGAACGGGCTTGTGCAGGTTGCGATACATGGAGCAGTTGAATCAGAAGTACTTGGCCGTGGCTCGGACTTTTGAGAGAGTATCTATTTGATTTTACTTTGGTCGGTGCCGTGGCCTGAGGCACGCTTCGCTGCAGCCGGCCTGCTTCTGGCCCTCACCGTCAATGTGCAAAGCCTGGTTTTCAACAATTTTCGTGTTCGATGGTTGGTGCTCCTCGCTGTCCTAGGTACGGCAGGGACGGTCGGATCATATCCTCGCGGCCCTGAGCCCGTCCTGTGTGCAGCAGGTGCGACGTGCAATGAGAGACGAGCTGTGGAGATGCCCGCAGTTTGCCAGTTTGCACTCAACGGTTTTTTTTTGTGGGCTTTGGTGAGTTGATCGTGTTGTTTTCTTAGATGGAAATCTTTACGTCACTGCCTTGGAAATGCGAAGGCGCTCCGGATGCCCGCAGCCTGTCGCCAGGCAGCGAATATCTCAAATACCTCACAAAAGGAGAAAGGTATGGTGCGCAAAAATCTGCACTTGCGCCAGACAGTTTTGTCGCCTTGTGCAGGGCAACTGCGCGATCATGGACGAGCTGTCCGCTAGCTGCCGCAGCTCCTGGCAGGCGCAACCAGCGCGACTTTCCAGGTCAAAAATGTCTCAGGGAGCCAGTGGGAATCAGTGGGAGTCCGCACGAGAAAGACCATAGAGGCCCTCGACTCGGCTACTCGGCCCTCGACTCCTGAACTGTTGAGGCCTCGGAGTACACCTTCTACGTTGAGCTGTCGCTTGGCAAGGAACAGCCATGGTAGCCATGCAGCAAGATGGTGCCAAATATTTGCAGGGCTGGGCGAAGCTAGCCAGTTTGTCTATCTGGCCACAAGGTCCGTCTCCATTGCATTCCTGGTTTTGGAGCTTCTGTCAATGTTGACTGCAGTCCACTGCTCACAGCAAGAGGTGCCGTGTGCAAGTTAAGTTTGCAAAAGGAACGTAGGCGTTAGACTCATTCAGGAACCAACCCCGGAATTCAGGGGCACTAGATTACAGATTTGGGAACCCCGCCAACATTCAGGAACCGAGCACGGACATTTTTGGAACGGGCCGCCAAAAGGAATCCTGCCCAAACAATTCAGGCGGGTCCAGGTTTTTTTTTTCGTGTTTTTTCTGTTTTTTTTTAGTATTTTTCATGGTCTTGGGTTTAGGGTTTAGGGTTTAGGGTTTAGGGTTTAGGGTTTAGGGTTTAGGGTTTAGGGTTTAGGGTTCAGGGTTCACCTGAAACCATAAAAAATACAAAAAAAACCAGAAAAAAACACGAAAAAAGAACCATCAGCCAATTCAGGCACCACCGCATGTTCTGACTCCACTTGCAGATGTCGTATGTGTGCATGACGTAAACCCCCGTACGGCCAGGATGTTTAGGTTTTTTAGGTTTAGGACTTCAGGGGGTTTGAGGGTTCAGGTTTTCAGGTGTTTCTTTTAGGGTCTCGGTTGCCGCCGCCGCCCCCCACCGCCGCTCGCGCCCGCCGTCCCGGGGGAGGTGCAGGGGAGTTGGTGACGAGGTTTCGGTTCCAGGGGTGTGGTTTCGGCCTGTATTGGGGGTCTGGTTGGTGGTGTACGTGCAGAGGGAACCTTACCTGAAAAACCTCGCTGGGGGCCAGGATTCGGCCTCTACAGGCGGGCTGGTTGTTGGTTTACGCGCAGGGCGAACCCCACCTTGCTGGGAGCGAGGTTTTCGGCCTTTATCTCGAGAAGCGGCTAGTTGTTTTGTTGAGGGCTTTAGGGTTTTTAGGGTTTAGGGTTCTCCGGTGTTTCTTTTAGGGGTTTTTCGGGTTTAGGGTTGCCTGCCGCCCACCACCTACCCGCCCGCCTGTCCTCTTTGGGCTCCTCACGCCGGAGCACTCTGAAACCTCGCTGTGGCCGAGGTTTCGGCTCCTGGTTGTTGGGTTACGCCCAATTCGACGGGGTCTCGAGAACCTCGCAAAGACTGTAGGTGGGGTCTCGAAAAATCTGTGGTGCTCCACTTCTGGGTCTCGAGGAATCTCGCAAGTACCGAGGTGCTCCAATTCTGGGGTCTCGAAAATCTTGCAGCCGGAACTCCAGGGGATGGAAAACTTCGCAAATCTTGTGGGACCAGTGGGGCATCCAAAACGGCGGGAATATCGCGTGATCGGAGCTCTGGGCTTCTCACAGATATCGTGGGATCGGGACTTTGGGGCTTCGAAAGTACCACAAATATCGTGGGATCGGATCTCTCTGGTTCGAACGTACCGCGAAAATCGTGGGATCGGAGCTCTGGGGCAGACACGCACATACCAACACACATACATACGTACGTACATACGTACACACGTACGTACATACGTACATACAAACACGTACATACCTACGTACACACAGACACAGACACAGACACAGACACCGACACACAGAGACACGGAGACACAGAGACACAGAGACACAGAGACACAGAGACACAGAGACACACAGAGACACAGAGACACAGAGACACAGAGACACAGAGACACAGAGACACAGAGACACAGAGACACAGAGACACAGAGACACAGAGATACAGAGACACAGAGACACAGAGACAGAGAGACACACAGAGACACAGAGACACAGAGACACAGAGACACAGAGACACAGAGAGAGACACAGAGAGACACAGAGAGACACAGAGAGACACACAGAGAGACACAGAGAGACACAGAGAGACACAGAGAGACACAGAGAGACACAGAGAGACACAGAGAGACACAGAGAGACACAGAGAGACACAGAGAGACACAGAGAGACACAGAGAGACACAGAGAGACACAGAGAGACACAGAGAGACACAGAGAGACACAGAGAGACACAGAGAGACACAGAGAGACACAGAGAGACACAGAGAGACACAGAGAGACACAGAGAGACACAGAGAGACACAGAGAGACACAGAGAGACACAGAGAGACACAGAGAGACACAGAGAGACACAGAGAGACACAGAGAGACACAGAGAGACACAGAGAGACACAGAGAGACACAGAGAGACACAGAGAGACACAGAGAGACACAGAGAGACACAGAGAGACACAGAGAGACACAGAGAGACACAGAGAGACACAGAGAGACACAGAGAGACACCGAGAGACACAGAGAGACACAGAGAGACACAGAGAGACACAGAGAGACACACACAACAACCACAGACACAAACCATCAGAGATCACACACACACACCAGACACACAGAGACAGCACACCTAAGCACAGACACTACATGAGATCACACACACAGACACACTATAGAGACACACAAGACACTACACACAGAGACACGACAGAGACACACGGACACACACAGACACACAAGACACAGCGAGACACCACACAGACACCCACAGACACACACCGAGACCACACCCAGACACCCACTAGACGAACACGACACGGACACACATCAGACACACACAGACAGTCACACAGAACCACACACATACACAGCACAGACACACACAGACACAGAACAGACAACAATCACAGAAGTGCCAATGGGACCAGGAAAAAACCAGTATGACACAGAGGTCATTAGCATCCTACACATTACGGAGACACAGACACAGACACAGACACAGACACAGACACAGACACAGACCCAGACACAGACACAGACACAGACACAGACACAGACACAGACACAGACACAGACACAGACACAGACACAGACACAGACACAGACACAGACACAGACACAGACACAGACACAGACACAGACACAGACACAGACACAGACACAGACCCAGACACAGACCCAGACACACACACACACACACAGACGCAGACGCAGACGCAGACACAGACGCAGACGCAGACACAGACGCAGACGCAGACACAGACGCAGACGCAGACACAGACGCAGACGCAGACACAG